AACTATATATAAGTTTCATTTAAGATTTATTTCAATTAACGAAAAGATTTTAATAGTTAACAATAAAACACTGATTCGGATTAACCATTTATTCCGAAAAAGAGGTGTATACTCTCAGGTTACTTAAACATTTCTGTATACATGTATATTTACAGTAAAAAAAAAAGCTCATTATTTCATTAAGGATCTGACTGATTGTATTAATTTCCGCGACTTTCTCTAGTTAAATTGTCTAGTTAAATAATATAATTATTTCTAGGTTTCCCCTGACCGTGGGAATCCTGTTAATTCCAAGAGAATTCCCCTCCACTCAGAGCGCCATAGAAGCGGCGCATCTCTTGTAAACTCAGCGGCTCTCGCGAGATTTCCTCGCGTCGCGCAGCACGAGCAGGAGCGTCTATGGAGCAGTGAGGGCAGGCGGGAGACGGAGCAACCGAACCTGGCGCGGACTGTAGCAAGAGACGCGGGGTGAGAGAGGGTAACCTGCCTGTGACGTCGCTGTGGTGTGTCTGAGCTGCGGTTCCCGGGGTAAGGAACTACCACAGCCTTTCCACATACAGCCCCTCCTTTCGAGACAACACTCTAGTAGTGACCACTTGAGTCTTTGCTCTCTCTGTAGACGTGCTTCTCCGATCCGTACTCCTTTCGAGCCTGTAAGGAGGACGCGCACATACTCAGGGAGGCGAGGGAAGCCCATTGGTCTCCCTACCGACGCCAGCGACAGGTAAAAAAAAAAGTCCGCCATATGACTGTAATACCAATGTTAAATGTCCCATTTGACGGAGCGCGTGGCTGGCTGTGACGCAGCTTCGGTTCATTTCAGCCTGCGATCATTCAGCGCATATAAACAGTTGATGCTGCTGCGTGGAGGCTGTGAAGCAGGGGAATGAGCTCTGCTTATGGCCTAGCGTGTTTTTCGCATAATTCCCACTTTTATCTCCCGAGACAGCCCCACCTTCCATTGGCAAATTCATTTTAGTAATGCAAAAGCCTCGACAATACAGAATCTCTGTTTAAAAAACTGTAAGACAAGATTGGCGCAGGAAGACGTTCTGTTGTTCTCTTTAGCCAGCTTATTCATTGCATTTGAGGTAACAGATTCGCATCTGACAGCTCAAGACAATGACAGTTGGCCAGCAGCATGTCTGTGAAGGACCATCTGCATGTGGGACTGTGAGGCTGGTTAACATGAGGGTCAATGAGAAATAAGGATGTCTGGGATGTTTAATGTAATGTTTAATCAGAATGTCATAACTGGATTTTCCTTTGAAACGTCAGACTTTGGCTGGTGAGGTCTGCAGGACATCTCCAGACTTTTAGTCCAGTTAAACCCCACACCTGCAGGCTAATGTTCATCTGTCTCCACTTTTGAGTTCTCAAAATCCAGTCAACATCTGATGGATAGAACTAAGTCCCTGCCCTACAATAAATATTTTCTCTTTTGATAATACGTTACACTCGTATGTCTTGGAAATTGAATCTTTGTATTCATGATGGTTAAAAAACATGTCTACAAAATGTTTTAATGATTAAAAATGTCAAGTGGTGCACTAATATTCTTTCATTGCATCTTAAATACATGAGTGAGCATTCATTACTTTTCAAAATAATATTTTTATTAACAAAATTGTCTTTAGAAAAATAAAAATAATAATAATGCCAAAACTTATGCCAACAAATTTATCTGGATCAAACACATGAGCATCATGTCATTGACCCATGATCATTTGTTCTTTTATGTGTGTATATCAATATAATGATGTAGAAAATGCATTGGTTGCTGTCCAACAGTAGTTTGTGATGAATGAGTTATTGTGAAGAAATATAAGTAATATGGTCCAATACTTGCTTTCAGAAAGTAAAATAGCTAAGAAAATCATATGAATCTATGTGTGCATAACTTCAGCCTACTTGACTTTTAGTGAGCAGAATTACAGATTTACCGATTACTTTGGTTTCATTTAATCAAGTCTTGCACTGCTCCATTTTGCTAATTTACTCACTAAGATAACTTGCCTTTTATTGATGGTTTTGTGCTTAACCAGTCTGTCTCAGTGGTTTGTGGTTATAGCTTTTTGTCGCATCAATAGTGTCAGTTAGCCTTATTGAGCTTATTATTTGACTGTATATCAATGCCCCATCCATGTAATTTAGATCTGAAACTTTCAGGAAACGGTAGAAAAGATGAAATCTCTTTAGGTGCAAGTTGAGATGAAATTACTGGTTACAAACAAAGCTTGGCATATCCGGATTCTTCAGACACCCTAAAAAGAGCTGTTTTAGATTAGCGCTTCACTCAGATTGAGTTAAACAAATGTGCTGTGTGTGGTGTTAAACACTGGCGCATATTACTCATCTGCTGGTTGTTTTTATTTATGACTTTTTTGACACATTTCTCAGGTTTTAGAAGTGTTGTGTTCTACATTCTTGGGTGTGCATTCAACAACCTGTAACATCTGACCGATTCAAATACTGAATAAAGTTCAAACAGATGTTGGCAGTTGTTCAAAAAGACACCAATTCATATTTCTTACTTTAAACATAAGTATAACTTTATAAATCACTTTAGAATTAATTTCTGAACATATAATTAAGTCTAAAGTTTGCTTTGCATGAAAAACCCAAAAGCGTTGCTTGTTGTGCTACATAACATTTTCATCTATAGACTTGTTTGACTGAATTTTTTGAACATCCTGCGAGCCTTATTAATGGAAAAATAATTTTTAAGTAGATTATATAAAACAAGAGCAAAAGACATTATTAAATTGACCTCACATTAAGTGCTCTTCTCCAGCTCTGTGGAGAGAAAGAATAAGAGCACTTCTGAATAATGACTGCAGCAGATTAGCAAAGGTCCTCAGAGTCCTCCGACATCCTCATCTGCCAGTATTCATTCACAAATTTCTCATTTCCTCTTCTTAGGTTTTAGTTAGACCACAGTGTCTTCTCAGTTTCTGTTTGAGGCTGCAGCATTGGTGGCTGACTGCAGAGAAATCGTTCATTATTCACGTCTCTTTCTGCAACATACAACTCTTACATACAAACAAAACCTCATGGAGATGCTGAAGCTCTGTTACTTTTGAATCCATAAGAGCAGTGATTCTCTTGTACTGGGGTGGTGGCATATTCCTTATTGTTTGAAGTTAAAGGGTTAGTTCACCCAAAAATGAAAATTCTGTCATTAATGGCTCACCCTCATGCCGTTTCAACCCCGTAAGACCTTCGTTCATCTTCGGAACACAAATTAAGATATTTTTGATGGAATCTGAGACCTGTCTGGCCCTGCATAGACAGCAACGCAACTGAAATGTTCCGAAGTCCAGAAACGTAGCAAGGAGATCTGTAAAATAATCCATGTGACATCAGTGGTTCATCTGCAATTATATGAAGCTACGAAAATACTTTTTGTGCGCAAAAGAAAAAAAATAAAGACTTTATTCAACAATTCGTCGTCTAAGCCGTTATTTTTTTTTCTTTTGTGCACAAAAAGTATTCTCGTAGCTTCGTATAATTGCGGATGAACCACTGATGTCACATGGATTATTTTACAGATCTCCTTGCTACATGTCGGGACTTTGGAACATTTCAGTTGTATTGCTGTCTATGCAGGGCCAGACAGCTCTCAGATTCCATCAAAAATATCTTAATTTTTGTTCCGAAGATGAACGAAGGTCTTACGGGTTTGAAACGACATGAGGGTGAGTAATTAATGACAGAATTTTCATTTTTGGGTGAACTAACCCTTTAAATACATATTCAAAGGATATTCATTACTATTGTTTTGAATATAACCGTGCAGCACATTGCTTTACATGTGAGCATGTGCTTAATTATTTTTGTGGTGCATCACAGTCTTTGCATGCAAGTGCTGATAGAGCAAACCAAAGCCACGTTAAGAATTTGCTCTTTGCAGCCAAAAGAAGATTCATGAAAAACAATATTAGAAGGGCTTTGTAAACAACTTATTTTGAATGAGTCTTGTTGTAGGGGACTTGTGATGGGAGCTCACAGATTTCCTTTGCTTCAGGGTAACATTAGCACCGATTAGTGAAATTGAAAATGTTGCTTGGAAAGGGCTGGATTTCACCTTCAGGGATTCTTCTCTGATTACTTGAAGAGAAAATATCCATCAGTTGTAAACTCTTTCAGGGGACGTTAGAAACTTTGGATGATTCTGTGTTTGCAGTAGATATCTATATTTTCACAGGAATAATTTAAAGATCTAGTGCCTGGAGTTCTCTTGCACCTTTTTGTAATATCATAAGTTGCAGTTTGAGGTTTGTAAGATATTTTTTATTGTTTTAGAAAGTCTCTTATGCTCACCAAGGCTGCATTTATTTGAAAAATACAGTACAAACAGTAATATGTGAAATACTATTCTGTTTTCCATTTTAATATATCTTAAAATGTGATGTCAAAACTGAATTTTCAGCATCGTTACTCCAGTCTTCAGTGTCACATGATCCTTCAGAAATCATTCTGTTATGCTAATTTGGTACTCGAGAAACATTTCTCATTATCAGTACATTTTATTTGTCATGATTCTTGATGAATAGAAAGTTACAATTTATTTGAACAGCATTTATGTGAAATATAAATATTTTGTAACATTAGAAATGCCTTTATTGTCACTAATCAATTTAAAGCGTCCTTGGTGGATAAAAATATTAATTTCTTTAAAAAAAAAAAAAATCTTGCTGACCCCATTTTTAAATGGTGTGCTGTGATGTAGGATATACAACCTTAATTTTTTCCCACCAGGAGTCCATCTCTGTTACCATAAGCAGTCACATTGTTCTTTTTCTAACCATTCAGAATGATACTGCCATGAAAATGTGGGCTTATTTGCCTTTTCCATATTGTTCATTAAACTGATGGGAATTACGACAATAAATCTGAGAATAGTTCATTTTAAATATATGTACATTCTGCATTGAAGGCTTGTGGCGGATGTTTAGATATTGCTCCGTGGCACGCTGAGAATGATTGATGCTGCGCGTCTGTGTTAGTCTGGCCTCACCAGGAGAGCCCCTCCTTCCCAGACCTGCTCAGGAATTAAATGATTATCTCAAGGGTGCTCCCCTCATTTGTATGGAAAAATTGTATTTGGTGTGGCAGCTTCGGGACATCCCCAGATAGTGCTGCGGCGATAGGCTTACAGATGCTTGACTGCGACAGTGACGCAGTGGAATTGTGTCTCCTGTCACTCAAAGGAAGCAAAAGAAACCGAGAGTGTGCTGCTGCCAGAATGTAGAAGATGATGGGGTTTGGTTGGTAAAGTAGAATAGCCCAACAGCCCTATTAAAAAAATGATCACTTAATGGGGATGAAACACAACTTTCCTCTTGTTTAGTCTCTTGTGTCTTTTGCTTTATTGTATGGCCAGTGTTATATTTTATTTGTTTGCATGAAATATTTGTCACCTCCATGAACAATATACATTTCCTCTGGCCCAATCAAACTGACACTTTCTATTCCTTAATACCAAAAATACAGTTAATTTTATGTTTAAAGGTATTCTGGGAATGTAAAAATCCAATATAGGGCAACAATGATGGCCAACTTTTTCAGCAGCCTTGATCTGTCTTGAAGTATTTTTGTATAGAAGTTTTTCCCTTTCATTTTCTAATTTGATTTGTTGACTATGTGTATATTATATTATATTAACCAAAATATTCAGATCACAAATATGTAAGTAGTTGCTGAGTGGTGGTGCATTTAAAATGTGAAACAATTGTCAAGTAATTGAGAGATGCGGGCTGTACTTTAACATGCTATCAGTCAGCATGTTAAAAACCTGTCTGAGAAGTTTAGTCTTTTAATTCACTTTATTTACAGCACCACCATTACAAGCATCAAAACATATTTACAAATAGGTTTATTGGTAAGGTGTTAAAGTGAGATTAAAGCACAGAAGTCTGTTGCTGGTTCTTTATGGTGTGGTACTCACTTTTGAGTGTCTTGTCAGAAAACTAATCAGACAAATGACTGCTTTAAAAAGTAATAGAAAAAGACTCAAACTGCTGGATGCCGTGAGCTATGTGTTGTTATTAAACACGGTTTTGAAAAAAAATGAAGTTGTAATGATTCTGACTTCTGGTTTCTACAGTAGCATGTCATCGCTTAACCTCCTCAGAGATTAAGGTATGTCTGTCTTGAAAGGTTTAGCCTATTCATTAACATTAAAAATCTATTTCTCTATGGATCAAATGAATGGGATTTGTTCTTACTTTTGTGGCAAGCGGGGTCTTTCAGGATTGTGAGTCACGTACAGGGTTTCCTGCTTGTGTTAAATGATTAAGGGCTTCACCGATATCTCTTTGGACCTTGAATCACCCATGTACTCTGCTTACCATATTAAGAGCAGATTAAGGCTGCAGCTAAATGCACACAACCAGGAATTTTCAGTTGGAACTGCGAATACTCTGGCCTTCAGAGGCCCTTTACAGACTGAAGGATGCTAAATATTCCTTGTCTGACCCACATGTGATTTGCTGTTAAAAAAAAAAGTATTTATGTTGTGAGGGAGCCCTGCAGATGATTGTCTTTTGTTGGCCCTGAGGAAACTGCCTTGGTCTCCATATCTTTAGGGGCTGCAGTCTATCCAGTAGTTGTGATGTCCTCTGTCATCATGTCCAAAAGTCTGCAACAAGCATCATTTGTTAATTATCTCCGAAGGGAAAATAGGAGCCTTTTAGTCATTTGTCTTTCTGTTATAGAGGACACAACAATGCATTACAATTGTGCATTCAGACAAATGTGTTGAGTGATTTCTTACTTTCCATTTTCTTTGGTTAGAGTATGGTTGTCAAATGTTGGCACATTCTGATTGAGTTCAGGTTAAGACTCATGGTTTGACTCTTTCGCTCTTTGACTCACTCTTTCATTCTGAGCTGATCTGTTTAGCCATTGTTGGTTTACCCTGTTTGTGATCCTAACATGCTGACTTCCCTTTTCTCTGCTCGTTCACATATGAATGCTTGTATGTGACTCGTACCGACTGCTTCTGCAAAATCAATTTTTTTTTTATTAACATTAGCATTTTAAAAGTAAGGAAATGCAGACAAAAATTCTCCTCTTTCACACAGTATTTTTATTTTATTGCTTGACTTCTCTGTCAGAGGGACATATTTTGCTTTATTGTGTTTGTTAAACTGTCACTGTGCAGTGTGCATGAAACTGCTTTGATGTAATGCTTCAGATTTACATACTTGCTGTGCTATTTGCCATATTTGAGACTGCTTTAAGACTATATAGGACTCATTTGTGGTATTCACATTGTAATTGTAGTTATTTATTCCTTCTCTTTTAGTCCTTCTCTTGGAATGAATGTAAGTGTTGGCATTCTGCCACATTTATCAGTGTTGTAATTTGAAGTGCTTTTCCTCATTCTAAAAACGATTCAGCTTTCACAGTTTTTTCAATCTGATATATCAAGATTTCAGTTATTACTCATTAACAACTTCTTAAATGATAAATCATCCAAAAATGAAAGCTTTGTCATTATTTGCTCAGCCCAAGTTCTAACCTTGTATTGATTTTTTTTATTCTATGAAAAACAAAATGAGATGTTAGGCAGAATGTTTTGAGCTGCTCTTTTCTGTACAGTGAAAGGTGATTTAAATGGATAAATAGTAGTTATGTTATATTGTAATAAAATTTCACAATATTATGTCATCTGAAATCATAGAATAGTTTTGTGTGAGGAACCAAACTTTGTAATTGTGAACACCAAAATTTAAGCCATTATTGACTGATGATCTTGCCCTCCGCCTTAAATCTCATTCGCAAGTTATTTTGTAAGTTGGCTAAAGTTGTTTTTCTTTTAAATAATTACGATTTTCATCGAGTTCAGTATTAGCATTAAAGGGGTCATAGGATGCCCATTTTCCACAAGTTGATATGATTCTTTAGGGTCTTAATGAAAAGTCTATAACATAGTTTGGTTAAAATTTCTCAATGGTAGTGTAAAAAACACCTTTTTTACCCTGTCAAAAACAGCTCTTTTCAGATCAAGCCGTTTTTGTAGCATTTTCCTTTAAATGTTAATGTAAAAGTGCATGTAGCATCCTATGACCCCTTTAAATATGTGTTTCTTTGTCCGAGAGAGATGGGTAAAGGGCACTTTTGCAGAAATCTCCCTCTTTCTAGTGTCTATATATACACACACATATTCTAATACGAATGCTCTTAAATAACCCAGTACGCACAATAATAACACTATAATTACATATGTTGTTTTGTTCTCGTTGAAAGTGCGGTAATACAAAGAAGCTGAGATTAATCATGATAAAACATTTTAATTGACTGACAGCACTAGTATACAGTGTATTCATAATATATTTTGATGAGCTTTCTTATTTGATGGATGAAACCATGCATTTTCATAGTGCCTAATGCTCTCCATCAGATACCACTGCATTTACCATGGGACTTCATGTTTGCTTATTTTTTCTCACAGTCGTCCTCATCAGACTTTGTTGCAAGTGTCTGTGTTGCTGGTAAGTGTTAAAGAGTTGTGCATGTTGAGAGTGAGAATGAGAGAGAAAAACAGACAGACAGGGAAATCAGAGAGGCGACAGGGGGCTTGTATGTCTGCTTTTACAATGACTGTCAGATTGTGTAAGAACGAAGGGGGGGGAGTAAAAAGGAAGAGAAGAGTGAAAAATCCACACGCTCCTTTTTTTGTTTCTTTCAGGCTGATTCACTGTCGAGGAGTGGGAAGATCTAGTGAGAGAGAGGGAGACAACATCACTGAGACAGCGGAAGGAGGGGAAAACCGCTACACAACGCCTTTGAGAGCGAAGCAAGAGAGAGAGGCAGCCAGCGAGAACGACGGAAAGAGAGAGACAGAGAAGTAGCTTGTCTCTGCCTGCGTGTTGGTCAGCTAGCTGGGTCGAGGAAGCACTCATGTAAGCGTGTGTCTCCAGAGATGGCTCTCCGTCATGGGCGGGCCACGGCGTGGCTTCAGTCTGTGTCTGTGGAAGCCGGCATGTGGGTGTGCCTCTTTGTAAGCTGTGTTTAGTGCTGGTGTGGCGTTTTAGAGAACATGCGTGTGTGTTCGCGTGCGTCTACTGGAGGAGCAACTGCATCCAGATTGGTATCCGTCATTTCTCACTGCACTGCTCTCACGTGCCGGGCTGCTATGTTTGACGGGGTTTTCTGTGCATGCTTGCACTCATTCTGATGTATAATGCTCGGTTTGATTAGATTATATGGTGATGTTAATTTATTTGATCAGTACGTCTGGAAAACAGGTTATGTTTAATAATGCCTTTTTTGGTATAATATTTGTGTGGACTGCAAGGGCTGTTGTGTACAAATAAACACACTCACTCTCTTGTAAGTCAAAGTTAATGTAAAATCCATGTGGGAAGCTGCTCTAGGTGTCCTTATGGGACATAGTGACTCTAAACCTAGGGTACTTCAACCAGGTTGTCCTGCTTTTAGTTTTGCTTGTCTCACTCTCGCTTGTAAAGGCATACACGTGCCTTGTAGCTTCCCTATATGTGTATCCATCCATGCTGACAGAGATATGCAGAAGCCAAAAGTCACTCGTTTTCAGAGAAAGTTTGTGATTTGGTGATGCAAGCAAAAGTAGCTGTTGGCGAAACGATTGTTCAGTAAAGTTTGACTTTATGGGTTGAACCTGCCTGGTTTTTATGAAGTCGGACTGTCAGATAATGTGATTGAAGCATGTCTTCATCCATCATGGATACAAATTAATATAAAAAATAAAATGTATACAGTTGACCTGGGTGATGCACTTAAAGGGGTCATATGATGCGATTTCATTTTTTCCTTTCTCATAAAGATGTGGCACTGAATGCATGTTTAAGCCTCCAAATATTTGATTACTCATTGATTACATCTTGTATACTTAGACAAACAGGTGAGTTCTGTGGCTAGACTATGCAAAATCCCACTCAAATATAACTGCAAGTAAATGTGAAGTTCATGGGATCCGGTCCGATCCGATCTGGTACTCTTTGAAAGTCATGGAAAAGCAATGAACATTCTTATAGTGAATTAAGAAAGTTTTGTTCTGCCCTAAAGTATTGCATTGGCTGGATATAGTGTAAAACTGGCCCCCAAACCAATGTCATAACATTGATCTGTTTGTTCAGGGTCTTATTGGAGACATTTGTAAGCTAATAAGTAAAGGCTGGAATACACGACACAATGTTTGCCCCGATTTTCTGCTGACTTACTGTCTGGAGAAGTTGAGGTTAGTTGCCGAAAGTCAGAGCCAGTCTGCAGATTTGAGTTGACATTTCATAGAAAATCGCGTAGTGTATGATGGTCACAGACATATTTTTTTAGCTTCAGACTTTGATTCCATCCAGTTTGAGGATATCAAACAGGTTTGATATTTTGAGACAATTTTAGAAAACATTGTTTTCATTTGTCATGCGTCTCCTAGCAACAAGATGCATGTTTCTGTCTGAGGCTACGTTTACACTAGTGCGTTTTAGTTTTTAAACAGCGTTTTAAAATGAAAACGATTCTGGTCTACACTTGCGTTTTCACTGCGTTTCAAAAACGTCCACACTACACAACCGAAAACGCAGGTCACATGACCATTCATGCAGGTACAACAATGAGCATGATGTCATTGTTTACACGGTCATCAAGGATACGCAGAGAGAATGTGGTAATCCACGCCATCGTTTTCAAAAGTCTCCATTTTGGTCCGTTTACACTGAAACACAACCCCAGAGTTTTCAAATTAAAACGGGGTCTGCAGTTAGGGCAGGGTAAAAAATATCGATATCTAGATATTAATCGATTCTCATTTTTACGGAACAATATCGATTCTTAAATCCCAAGAATCGGATAGTCTAGCCTGTTTTCAATGAATGGAATTGAAAACGGGGGGAAAACGGGGGGGGAAACCCCCCCCCCCCCCCGATGTCATCGTCCATCACGATGTTTCACTGCAGACATTGTCTGATGCCAATTTGGTAGACATCACCCAACCCTAGCTGGCTAATATGACTTCAGTTGGCGTAGATACAGCATCACGAAAAAGCAGTGTCTCTGTAGAAATACCCTATTTGCAGTCAGCCATGGCTCATTTAATACATAATATTTACAAAGTTCTATTAAATTCTATATGAGTGAAACACTTTTTTTATATTTTCAATTTTAATTTTAGGTTTTAGTAATTTTGTCATGTTTTAGTTATTTGTTGTAGTTTTTATTTTTTTATTTCTATTTAGCTTTCATTTATTTTAGCTTCAGTAATTTTAACACTTCAATGTAAACTTATTTTATTTCAGTTAGCTGCCAAGGCAACATATAATTCTAATTTTTGTTAAAGTTGATTACTCAAGTTTTTTATCTGATGTTTATTTTATTTCAGCTTTATTACAATAATGAAAACTATTTTTAATAGTTTGTTGTAGTTAACAATGACAACATTCTGTTATTCTAAATGTTGTTATCTTGCATTCAGTTGTAAAGCAGTTTCTTTTCCCCCCTGTCTTTATCCAGAAATCATGAACAACTTGAAAGGTCAAAAATGAATCAGTCAAAACTGTTGGAATCCTTTTAACTGATAGTGAGTGTTGTGCTTGTGAACTCATGTGTGCAGCATCCACGTTGAGTCAGATTTGAAATTCCCTTCAGTGTGTTTAGTCAGGGCTGGGCTTGAGGATGGAGAGGTTAGTGTTTGGGATTGTGTGTGTGTGTGTGTGTGTCTGTGTAGTGGGAGAGTTTGGTGTAGCCCTGGGCTGGGAAACTGACTTCATTCTGTTTGCCTTGGCTGCCGACCAGGACGACCCCAATCACCCTCTTCTTTTCCTCTCCTTTTTCCACTTTGTCTCCGCCACTTTCTGTTTCCATTATAGCTTTTACTGTCTATCCCCCCTCTCTCTGTCTGTGTCCTGTTGTACTTTTACTTTTCCATATTGCTGCTGTCTCTCTCCGTCTCATCATCTCTCTCTCCCTCCCTCTAGAGCACCTGTGTCGCAGTACAAGTTTTGCCCCCCCTCCTCATCTTCCGAGCTGTGTGTGTGAGGAGAGGATAACCAAAAAGGGTGACATCATTTCCTGTTTACTCCACTAATGAATGAATTACAAAGAAAAGGACCAGCTTAAGTCACCGAAACCCACTGTTTCTGACTTCACCCCCCCTCTCAAGTCTCATTGTCTAAACAATCCTCTCATCACTGACCGCAGCCTGTTTAATGCATCAGCCAAAGTTTGATTGTTCAGAGATTACGTCTGCAAAATCATGCAAAACGCAACATACTGGAATGTCATGCAGCTAAATAGCATGAAGTTTTATTTTCAAATCTTTAATTTGATGCAGTTTTGTTTTCCAGATCGCTGGTCCGCGGTAGATTAGTACTGATTGCAAGCAGACCTGTTGATGAAAATGCTTTTGATGTCTGTGCAGTGTTTGTGTGTGTGTGGAGGTTAGCTGTCAGGCTCCATAGTGAAGAGCATTGCAGAGGAGTCACATGGTACACTGCTCTCTCCCGCAGGACCGCTGGAACACTCTGTTCTGAGGAAAGGATACAGGCACATGAATGAAGCTCGCTCACACTCTCTCCCTCATGATCACATGACCAGCAATGTGCTTGTTCATTCACTCGCTCATACAGTACTAGCATATGGATTACACCACACCAATCTCTGACCTTGCTGACTGTTATATCCTTCACTTCTTGTTCCTTTTCTCATACCCAGCAATCTCCTGCTCTCAGTGACCACTGCGGCCATCTCCTCAATATCTTCTTCCTGTCCCTCCTAGCTCTCGCTCTCTCCCCAGTATGTAAAGTGCATCTGAGTACACACCAGATCAGCTCCGACTGCAGTGGAATACAGGAGCATCCTTGTGCAGGTCAACACATACAAACAGAGACTCTTTCTGATGCTTGTGGGATGTATCTGGTGTTGATTAATGTACTGTAGATATATCTCAGTCCGGTCAGACCATCATTACACAGCATTTTTTATTTCAGCATGGACAGAACATTTGTTTCTGGATTCTTAACTCTTCAGACCTGGATTGGACATGGGCTGCAATCATGGTGTCGAGGCCACAACCATGAGTATCACCCAGTTTTTACAGATTAACAGTATTTTAATTGATTCTCACACATATTTTAGAATACAGCACAATAAATCTGTACAGAATCAACATTTTTACCCTATTAACATACCCACCCCAAACTAATCCCCAACTATGGCTTTGAGGTCACAATTTCCAGGATACATCTTCCAGGATATAATGGTGAGAAAAATACAATACAATACAATAAATAAATAAAAACCCATCTTATAATCGATAAATCCATCACAATTAAACTTTAAACTATAAACATCTTTTGATCAGCCAATGTTTTTTTTAGTAATTTAAAAATCCCTATTGAATGGTGGTGTGATCTATGCTGGTGTGTGGAGATTAGCCAATTATAATAAAGGTAATTTTACATATTGTAGACTACACATAGCGTACAATATAAAGAACATCCTGTTCCATTCACAGTTTTGAAAATGGCCACGTAAAACTAAGTTATAACTTGTGTGACAAATGCTGTAGTTGGACGTTAGGGAAAAAATGTTTTAGATAGTGAGTTTGTTGCAACTTCCTCAGTGAGAAAAATTAAAACCACTTGAAGGGAGAGATTTAATTAAAATCACATTATTAAGCACATTATTATTATTATTACTTTTTTATCATAATTTTTAATACCCCACCTCGATACAACCCTATCTTCTTTGATACGTACGCCGTTTCAAGGGCTGGGCAATAAAGTTGTCCAATGGTCAGATGAGTTTCGATTCCTCCAGCTGCCTGCCACTCACATGAAGTGATCATTCATTCAGTGCGCAGTGCC